ATGTTCTACGAGAATGTTCCTCAAAATAACTTTAAATGACAGGCAATCAAACGCAGCTCGTGATAGAGCTTTTCACCTCCATTTGAAATAAACTCTTCCCACATTTTATATAATACAATGTGGAATCAACATTTCAGGTGGCCCTGGCTGGATAGCTCAGTTGGCATGCTGCCCCCATTCGCCAAGGTTGTGGGTTCGATCCCCAGTCAGGGCACACACAAGGAGTAATCGATGAATGCCTAAGTGGAACAACAAATCCATGTTTCTCTAAAATCGATCAGTAAAAAATAAAAAAAAACACGAAGTTCTCTACTTTCTGTGACAAGTGTGTTAATTCAGCTGATCTCAACATGAGTGAACTGATCTCCTAGTCTTAAAAAAAACCATAGCATTTCACAGAGAAATTTCTTCATTTAATGAGACTTTTCTGGAGTTAGGTAGGTACAAATAAATGTTAGGCCCACATTCGAAGGGCTCTTCAAAAGCACTCGTCCGCTCCACTGAACACCTTCGCCAGGTGGCTGCGGAGGGCCCCTCGGCTGGCCGACAGGAACAGTGAGATGGGACAAGGGATAACACGAGAGGGTTCCAGGGACGCGCAGGGTGGTCCTGGCACTGTGTGAACACCACCACTTTGCGTCCGTTGCTGTGTTCTAACAAGAATGAAATGTGTTAACTTGCAAAAGTTCCTTTAAGTGCAATGGAAGAGGTTCCCTTCCAAGTGCAAAGTACCCCCATAAGCACCTTTGATAGGAAACTAAGTAATCACCCAACCCCAAAGAACAATCCAGAAACACAACACCTGGGAAGAGAGGGGCCTGCTGTGAAGAGCTCCAGTGAGGACTACCATGCGTGAGCATATGTCCGATCCAGGAGCACATGCTTAGGATTCACCGAAATGTGTCTCTCCACAAAGTGTGACTCTACTAACATTTTACCAGTTTCCACAAAAACACTTCAAGAAAATATTAACACATAGGGGAAAAGCCAACACCCAGGATAAAGGATTTAATCCAGTATTTATTCCACACTCATGATCCTTCTCTGTAATCAGAATACAAGTCATAAGAACAATCTATCAAGTAATTTGCCGATAATCTTAAATAATGCAGTAGAGCATTACTTTTAATACTTCTCTGTTCTAGATTAAGTTTAAAAACTCAAACAGCAATCTTCATTATCAATAAAAAAGTTTTGAATTTTAAAAAAAGGACACTATATCAAGCTGTTTTATAATTTAAGTATTTTCCATTTATAAAAATGCTTTGGAAGCTTGAGGCTTGAATCTATTTCTCTACTCACCGCCCCACCCTCTCCCAATTCCACGTCAGTGTAGGGTTGCTGCCCGAATGCCAGGCTTTAGACATTTTTTTTTCCTTTAATATAGTACTTTAAAATCTGAGAAATTCAAGGAAAAAAAAAACAACAATACATGTCATGTACTTTTTTCAAATAAAAAAAGGTAAAACTAAGTGGATATATTTTAGGCATACTAACAGTGTCCCTTTGAGGTAGAATGCTAAAAGGACTTTTGATCAAATCACAGCCTAATTTAAACCTCTGGTATCAGAAACTACTCATAAAGTCTCTCTAAAGTTTACTGTGGAGAATATTAAGTGTAACATATTAACAAGAGCCTTCCAAGATAATATACAGTGGACAAGAATGTTAATCCTACAACTGCTGGCTTCATGTACATTGAAAGCACATAATTCTCCTAAGATAAGCATCCAAGATCCATTCTCCAAGCCTTCAGCATTCTATCACGAAAAGCACAGCCATGCGAACTTCAGTACACAAACCATAATCCCACACCTACAGAACAAAAATAGAATTAGTGGCAGTTTATTGCCTTATACAAATTTAACCAACATGGCAACCATGCCAAAGAAATTAAAACATTTTCAGGACATATGTACAGACTGTACACCTCGGAAACAATTAAACAATAAAAATGCAAGAACGACCTGTGCGCCAGGTGCGGAACTCAACAACTGGGTGAAAACATCGATGCGGCAGATGGGATTACAAAGGCACTTCCCTACACGAAAGAGAAAATGAAAACGCGGCCTACGGGGAGCTCGGAGAGCGCGTACTACTGCGACAATCTCAAGTTGGGAAGGGGAAAAGCAGATTTAATCAAACACGTGTCGGATTCAATGTGATCCACTTTCACAAGAAATGTTCACACAGCCTCGTCCCCGTCCTTGGGTTGCTTGTCCTGGCCCTCCGGCTCCGGGCTCGGGCTCCGCCGACGCTCGTGCCTGTCCGCCTGCTCCTTGCCGTCGCCGTGGTCGCGCTTGTGGGCGCGCTCTCTGCTTCTGCTGCGCTTCCGCGCCTTCTCTTTGCTGGGGCTGTGCTCGCGCTTCCGCGCCTTCTCGGCGCTGTCAGTTCTCCCCCGACTGCCGCTGCGGCTCCGCTTGTTGGACTTCTCCTTGCTCTCGCTCTTCCGCCTGCTCGCCTTCTCTTTGCTCCGGCTCCGGCTGCGCTTCCCCGCGTTCCTGCTTCTGCTCCTACTCCTGTGCTTCCTTTCTCTGCTTCTGCTCCTACTGTGTTTTTTCTCTTTCTTGGAATCTTTTTTGTCATCTCTATGCCGTCTGTCATCTTTGTCGTCTTTATGTTTTTTTTCCTCCACCTCGCCCCTACTTCTCCGTTCCTTGGACCGCTCCCTCTCCTTCTCTCGGTCCTCACCTCTTTCCTTGTCGTAGTCACGATCTCGCCTCCTGCCTCTCTCGTTTTCCTTCTCTCTTTCCCGATCCCTGTCCCTTCGATCCCCTTTCCTGTCGCGACTTCGACTTCTGTGCCTCTCCCTGCTCCTGCTGTGCCTGCGCTCCAACCCCCGATCAACACTTCGGGATCTTCGCCTTTCCTTCTCCCTTTCTTTAGCTTCACGCTCTAGTCGCTGGCGTTCCTTCTCTCTTTCTAATTCTCGGTCAAAACTAGAACACCCATGGCCCTCCCGATGATGGCTTCTACTTCTTGATCTTCTCGGGGATCTCCGTGGACTCAGTGATCTCCTTGGAGACCTAATGTTTAGGAAAGGAGGAGGAGAGAAGAAGAAAATGTAAATGAATTAAATATATTGTAAAAAAAATTTAATGGTCAGTGTTATTTATTTAGATCCCCAGCTTACATAAACATATCAAAAATGATTAAAGGGAAAAATGTGTGTGTTCACATTTACCGATGGACAATTTTGTTGAAAGTGTCACGAAAGGCAGAAAATGACCTTTGGAAGAAAAAGTGACACTCGAAATAAACACTATAAACAGAACTTGCCACTGACTTTCAAAGACCTCTGTATAAAGTGTTTTTTTAAAATAAGCTTAACTGAAAAGAGTTACATTACCTTGAACGCCTGCGTTCCACATGTCTGTCTATTTCCTCAGCACCTTCCTTCCCGTCTTTCTTGATTTTTCTAGGCCGGGTTTTAATCTGTTGATCAATATTCTTCTGGACTGGAACCGGGATTCTCGGAAACAAGGTAGAAAACCACTCCAGCTTTGTGAGAAAAGACCGCAGCATCTCCCCGATGGTCATCACGCAGCCCCCGCCGGCCTTCACGTCTAGGTCCTGAAGAAAGAGACAAGATGCCCTTGTCGTCACAGGAGTGTCTCAACGTGCACGTGACCACTATAAAAAATTACCATCTTTAGAATCTCAGGTACAAAACAAATTCTAACAGAACAATTTTAATCTGTGTACCCTGCTAATCTCGTAACAAATGACAGAGAAGTACTCGGGCTTCAGTGTGTGCATGCAGGTGCGAACACGCCCTGCGACTCCCTGGGCGCGAGGAGACCTGACCTCATCAGTTACGAATATGAAACAGCCCCTCACGTTACTACCGACTGCGGAACAATCGACTTGAATGTGAATTCCGCGTAATACCTACTAACTACACAGTCATGTCTGTGGAAACATTTGCACACATCGGTCCTGGCACTGTGACCTGGTCACATACGAACTACTTTAAACAATTCCTGTCTACGGGCTATCTTTTAACAGGTAGAGGATAAAATGAAGCCCTACTAACACTGGAAGCAATAGCAAACCAACTGCCATGAAGCAGTGAGGTTTCTAATTTAGAGTCACGTAGAAAATAAATAAACGGACAAATCATTGGAAATGCATAATCCAGGATGACCATTGTCTCTGAAAAGGGTCATTACCGCATGAAGGCCTTCTTGCTATGCCCTCTCACAGCTCAGGACATGTTAGTCAGCTATTGTCAGTCCCAAACCTACAGTGCAAGCACACAAGGAAAGTGAGATTTGTTATCTACACAGGAAAACAAGAGCTAAAGGTAAAACTGCTTGCACTCACACACATTTAAGTGTTCAGATATACAGTATTTCCAAATATAATCGCTGCAGATATCTAAGGAAGAAAACAATAAGTTAGCTTGAACAGAGATCCTCAGGTTTGTGAATACAATTAAAAAGACATCACGCGGAGCATTCAGAAACCTAGTAAGACACCAAGTCTGAAAGAGACATGCTTCTTAAATATAAAAATGAGACCTATTTCAGTCTAAAAAAATATCTCCTCAAAAAAAGACATTTTAAAGATTGTGGTTTATCACCTAACACACACACTCTCTGCTTCTTTTGATACACTGAACAGCTCAGTAAACAGGCCCCAAAAAATGCAGACAAAAATTCCCATGTTTGCCCTGACTGGTGCAGCTCAGTTGGTTGGGCATTATTTTGCAAGTGAAAGGTCACTGGTTTGATTCCAGATCAGGGCACATGCCTGGGCTGCAGGTTCAGTCCCCAGATGGGGCGCATAAGGACAGGCAACTGACTGATGTTTCTCTCCCTCTTTCTCCCCCCACTCTAAAAAATAATAAAGGATAATTTAAAATTTTTTTCCATGTTTATACAAGTCAAAATTTTTCAGGTGTACACATACTAATAGTAACACTACAAAAATTTCTACTACAGCTATCCTTTAATTCAACAACTTCTTTGCATAGACTTTAAGAACAGGACTCTGACTTGTCCTGGCCTATGCTTTCCTCGCTGCCCTGCGCTCAGCTGCAGCAGGGTGGGGGGCTGGCAGGACACCCACAGTCTCCCTCAGCTTACAAGGGCTGTCCCGAGTACAGGGCTGGCTCTTAAAGGCACAAGAGGACAGTGTTCAAAAAATAAAGAAACAACATAACACTCAAAGTTTACTCATGACCCTGAGAATACAAAGCAGTGGTAAGGGTATGTATGTAGACGACACAGCCCATTATTAAGTCTCTTTTGAGTTCTTGAGTTCAATGTAAGCATATTAGTAATACCTGTATGACTTAGACCTAACAAAGTAAAGCTTTCCAAAGTAACTTTTGTTTTCTGAACATATGCAACAAGCTCAATCTCGTTAAGCTTACATGGTAAACTAAATTTATAAGGAAAAAAAGTAGTTTTAAAAAAAGGTTTACTAGCTTTGTGAATACATATAGTACACTAGGAGTCAGAAAGCTAGAATTAGGATATTTTGGTCACCTTGAACAAGCCATCTTAGCTCTCAGCCCGCTTAAGCCCCATCCAGCTCATCAATTCTACCCTTCTATGCAAGCGAGAACGTTAGTACGTGGAAGAAGTTAGAGGGTAAAGAACTAAAAAATTCCAGGAAAAAAGCTAATTAGTATTCTATGTGCATATCTTATCTCTTCAGTCTTGAACACAGTCCACCTTAAAAAGTCACTATTGACTATACAAGATCAGTTATCACACATGTAACAATTAGAAAGACAAAAGTCTTAATAATCATCAAAAACATTTAAAAATGATATAAAACTTAAGAAAATTAACCTAAAATATACACAATCCACCAAGTCTTAGTAAAAATTTGAGAAGTATGAGTGAAATAAATTTAACTACAGAAAATTCTGGAAGACATTCAACACCCAATAAATAAGATATTAAAAACATGAAAGTAATCAAAAGTAACTAATTATTACCCTTGCTGACATACCTCTTCGTCATCAAGGAAGGATTCAAACCAGTCCCAGAGATCTGTCGGGGGCTGTGTGTACCTAGAATTACAAAAGATTGATTAGGCTGATGTGAATTAAAATGGGATACTCATCACAGAAGGGAGATAAATGCATGCTCACCTTATGTACATAAACCCGAGGGCTCTAATATACGGAGAGTCTGTGTGTGTTATGAGACCCATCACTTGCTTGCGAGTTAACTTCAGGGTAAATAACTTGTATAAGAGGCAAAAGGCTGTAGAAACAATTCCTCCTGTTCCAACACCACGGACCTTTAAGGTGAAAATTTTTAAAAAGCAGTAAAACAATTAATGAAGTTACTTAACACCAGTTGATTAATCCTGATAGGTGTTATTAACAAGATACAATCCAGAACTGAGAATGTAGCGTAAAAAATAACTTTCCTAACCCCATTCATAGGACACTTTAATTTATATTAAAAAACAACCAAAAAAACCCAAAAAACAAAAACCAAAAAAACTTCTAAGATTTGCCAACTACTTGTCATTTGAGTATGCAACTGACATAAATATAAACTTATTATCAGACACAGAAAAACTGAAAAAATGCACGTACTTCTACTTACCCCTCCGCACATCCCGGTCTGGCCCGCTGTCTTCCTACTCCCTTTCTCCCACGGCTCGACATGTGTGACCTGAAAACAGAAAAGAGGAACACAGCAAACATTCATACTTCAAATTTTTTTACAAGTATGATCCAAGTAAACCCAGTGCATAACACAGCAGCTCTTCCAAAAGTTTGGAATATTTTGACTGATGTATTTATTTTATTTACACACATTAAGTATGTAAACCATCTTTTAAAAAACAGCTTAGGTATTTAAAGAGCACCAATAAACCTACTAGGGTGGAATAAAATCTCAACAGCTTTACAGAGCAGAAACCCCACTGGCTTTTAAGGAGCTGGTACACGTGAGGTCAAAACATTTCCAGTCTCTCATAATTGTAAAAAATATCTGATAATGCACCAACTTTATAGCTTTTTATGAGTTACTTAAAAAAATAAAAAGGTCTCATTTTCAAATGAACGTAAACTCCCACTTAAAGCAAAAAGTATTAATGATTAAGTATTTATTATAATTTTTATCGTAACCTCAGTTCAATTTTATAGCAATTTAAAACTCAATGTTAAAATAAAGAAAAACGACTTAAAAATGACTTGAAAAACAAATAAAAGAAAAACGGCAAGAACATGTTATTTCTAATGCATATTTATGACATTTTACTAGTTTTGTTTTTTTTTTTTTTACCATGATTGGACATTATATTCATTCCTGACTAAAGATGAAATTACAAAGACCATACCTATACTGATCATTCTGGTTGGTCAATGTATGTAATTCATTTTCAATCTAATTATGTGAACCAATTCACCCCCCCACTCAATATAAACTGTATGAAAACTGAATAAATGTGATTAGTTATTACACCAAGTACACCCAAAGATTCAGTATCATCTTTGTTAAGGTGGGGATCCTATAAAAACCACATACTTTACCTAAAAATATAACAACAACAAAAATAGCTCTACAAAAGATGTAACTCAAGAAGACCTTTTGGAAAGATAAGATCCACTGTTTCTTAAAAACAAAACTAAATCCTGTTCTTTCACTATGTATTTCTAAAACTCTATTTCCATCCACCATGGTGAGGTACATTTTAGCCTTTTTTGGCGGCTTGGGACAGAAAGGCAAGGCGTACACTAACACCTACAGCACTGCACTATTTTGCTCGGCTGACCCTGCAGGGAGGGCTTCAGGGCTTTTCGGTTTCACTTCCTTCCTCCCCCAGCTTGCTGCAGAAAAGACGTTTCAGTTCCGTTAAGGCTGGAAAGGGGTGGCCGCAAAGCAAACTCGACTTCCAAAAGCAGAGGCCTCCGCATCTCAGCGATCATTTGATCCAATGTATCCCTGACCAAACCTGGGGCTTTAGTTTTACAACTAAATTTAAATAATTTCTAGTAGAATCTGAAGTCGTTTCAAAACACAGTATTCAGAATTAGGAAACAAGCTTTCCTTCTACTACATTAACATCTGCCTGATCTCATATAGACCCTGCCCCCAAGAAGAGCAGGAACCCTTTTTGCGACTATTTGAAGCTGCCTACTAAATAAAGTTCAGGGCTGAATATTCAAAACACTGAACCCATGCTGAAAACAAGCCTTAGCTTTAAAAACTTAAAAACAAAACAAAACAAACCCTCCTAAAACTAGTTAATAGTATTATAATACTCTTGAAAGAGAATACCAAAATTTTAGTGTACATTTTATACCCACAGTTGAAGTGTATTGTCAAAATGATTTTCTATAGAAAGCAATTGATCTAAAAAAAAAATCCTTCAATAATCTAGTCATTTAATTGGGGAAAAGAACAAAAAAAATAAGCTAACAGCAAATTTAAAAAATTTATTCTTGCTTAACATCTCTACAGATGTTCAGCTCACAGAAAATACTTTGTGGTCTGTCAAGTTTTTTAAGAGTCCATCTAGACAAAACAAATTGCAGTTCATTAGATACTCTACCTAAAATATTTAAAGATCGGTAAGGCTATTATAAATATTTTTAAGACATAATCTTAGGAGGCCCGGAAGATATTTTCTTCAAACTACGTAATTTGCAGATAAGTGGAGAGAACGTCTATCTAGTTGTTAAAGGCCAAAATAATCTCATTAGCCGTTCATTTAACCCAGGGAAATGCATTTATGGCGATTGAGCATGATTAATAGTGCATACCTCTACCTGCGACCCTGGGCTGCTCCGAGCCTCGCTGCAAGACTGAGTCAATCCTGCTAACGAAACAAGAACTGAGACAAGAGTGCAGTGAGGAGGCGCCAGGTGAGCTCCCCAGCACAGCCAAGCCAGCACCGACCCTGCCGCAGAAGCCCAGGGCCCAGATAATTCTCAAAAGCCCAACGCACAGGTAAATGAGACCACTCACTCCTGACTTCCTGCTGGGAAAATTTCCAGGCCTTCTGTTACACCTCTTGTACTGGCACCTCTCCACCCTCCACCCTCCCAGCCCACTAGCACCGACCACTTCCCTGTCTGGTCAGAGAATACCAACGACACAAGGCCAACATTACTGTCAATACACGCCCTGACTCGGGGTGAGCGGGAGTAGCACCAACAAGTTGGCGCGGGCTAGATCCACATCAAAAGGAATGATTTTAAAGCTGTGAACTGGAGAGGCGACAATGACTCTTTTCGGCTCTCCCCTACCCTTCTCGTCCAACTCCCCCCTGGGGTGGGCAGGAGGTCCGAGAGATCGACAGCTGCGGGCTCTCCCGGCCCTAAAAATCCGAAAAGGAAACGAGGACGGCCCCCGTCTGACCTCTCCCTGGCGGACTACAGGCCACCGCTCCCTCCACCCACCGAACCTTCCCCCTATCCACCAATCTTCAGCTCTCGGGGGCCGCCCCCGCCCGTTCCCTCCATGCTCCCTTCTCCGAACTTAACCCCAGCCCAGGCCTAGGCGCGTCGTACCTTAAAGTAGATCTCGTCCACCACCTCGTGGTAGGTCTTGAGCTCGTACAGCTGCACTTTGAAGTAAGGCGACGACAGGATATTGGTCAAGATCATGGGGTTGAGGTTCATAGTCTTCTCGTTGCCCCACAGCGGCAGCACATTGCCCTGCTTGCCCGAGACCGCCGGCTTGGTGGGAGCTCCGCCGCCGCATGGCTGCTGCTGCTGCTGCTGCTGCTGGGCTGCGGCCGCGGCCGCCTGGTGCTGCGGCTGCGAGTTGCCTGTCAGCGCGGGGCTGTTGTTAGCCATGTTGCAGCGGAAGGAAGGAGGGAGGGAAGAGGGGGGGAGGGGGCCAAGCTCGATCTCGCTCTTCGGGACAACGGTCCCGGACCCTACTCCATGGAACGCCGTCGGGAGAGAGGGGCCGCCTCGCTGCGCCCCAGCCCGGTGAGGGAGGGCGACGAGGACGCCGACAAATGGACTCCGGGTGGCGAGCAGCCGCCGAGACACTGGCAGCGAGAACTCACGGCAGAAGGCGAGCCGGCGGCCAGGGAGCGCGATCTCTTCCGCCAACTGCCCCTGGGAACAAGATGGCGGGCCGGCGGATGTGACGCCACCCGCCCCAGCATTCCACGCGTCGCCGAAGGCCAGCCAGAGACGCCCAGGTGGGC